TATAATATATATATATATATATATATATATATATATATATATATATACGTATATACAGCAAATATCGAGGTTGATTATTAACAAAAGGACTCGAATAAATTACATTGATTGGTTCTTTCTTCGGGCAACAATCAACTTATCGAATATGTCATCGAGTTTTCCATGTAAATAATTTCCTTCACGCCTTCCTTTCTCACCTTCTTTTCCAAAAATAATTCCAAAGAAAAACTGGATGTAATAATGATTTCGAAAGGTTTATCTATATTTTGAGTTGTTGTGATGATATATCATCCATGAGTTTTGTATTATTTAAAGAAAAGAAAAAGAAAAAAAAGAATATACGAAGATATATAATATAATGATTTCAAGAGTCTAGTTATCTAGTTTCAATAAAATTTGAGTTGTTGTGGTGGTCATAAAAAATAGGATACAATTAATAATAAACAATATATCATCGAGTTTTCCATGTAAATAAGTATTATTTTTAAAGAAGAAAGAATATATAAAGTGTAGAGATGTAATAATGATTTCAAGATGGTTGTCTGGTTTCAATAAAAATTTGAGTTGTGGTAGCCATAAAAAAAAGGATGTACAATTAATGATAAACAACGGTATCATCGAGTTTTCCACGTAAATAAATTCTTTCTTATCTTATTTTAAAAATAATTCCAAAAGAAAAGAATATATACAAGAGACGATAATGATTTCAATAGATTGAGTCGTTGCGATGGTCATAAAAAAATAGGACACGTTTGTGCAATTAAAAAGAGCATACAGAGATGTAATAATTTTTTCCAAGAGGTTTATCAGATTTCAATAAAATTTGAAGAAAGCGCATTGTGGCGGATCGTAAAAAAATAATCCCTGGAGATCGTTTTATTTCTTATTTCCAAGCTCGATTCGTATAAGAGGCACGTGCATTGCTTTTACACTAACGACGAACCAAGTTTACTGCTTTACTTTGCTGAATTATGCGCCTTTGCAACTTTCTGTGCAAGTTGCGTGATAAGAAAGATAGAAAGCCTCTCGGCCAAGCCACGGTTATTTCATTTTATTCGTTATACACCTCGGTGTCCAATTAAATCGAAAATTAAATTAATCTCGTTTAAAAATTCTTTCCAGGCATATTTATTTTCAACGAAACGACGCAGATTAATCCAATTAACCTTATCCCTCTTACCTTTTTTTTTCTTAATCATGTTTTCGTTTCGTCGATCGAATCGGTAAAATTAATTCGCGGAATAATTCACAAACAAATGATAACAGTTGGAAGAAAATGGGGATAAAAGAATGATCAATCGGATGGAAAATTGATCGGTCCCTTGGCTTTTACAGGCAAGGTAAGTGGCAATATGTATGCAGTTTCTCGCAAGACGGCTCGCAGAAATTTCAGGTCAAGATATCGCGCATGTAAAACATCCATCGATCCGAGAAATCGTTCCTCCAACTTTTCCACGATGGAACGCGCTTTTCTACCGTGTTTTCGCAACGAAAACTAATCTCTTTAATACTCGTTGAAGGATATTTCCCTTCGTTCTCATTTTTTCTTTTTTTTTTTTTTTTTGTTGAACGAGAATGCAACGAAGAGGCGTATCTGTGCGATTTTGAACAAGAGTTTGAACAGGGAGATAAGAAAGTGAAAGTTCTTGGAAAGATCGGCCTGTCGATAAAAGGGAAAAGGAAAACACGTTTCGGAAATTTTTTCGAGGAAACACGTGAAAGGAACAATTTATTTGATGATTTTCTTCAAGAATACTCAGTTTTTATTCAACTTATTTGTTCCATTTTATACTATTTTTTTTTTTTGTCAAACGAACGACAGTTGTACACGGTTTTTTGAAATTCCATTTTTTAGAAATTTCTAAGTTGTTTTAATCTTCTTACCTGAGTCGAGGGGGTCGAAGGAAAATTCCATTGTTTAGACTTCTGTGAAAGGAAAAAAGATTTTCTTACGAAGGAACGAGCTTCGGTTGGCCAAAACTAGAGATTTCTTTTAGATAAATTTCTTTAGATATTTTTTTCTTAAATCCTAGGACGCGACAAAAGATTTTATTGCCTTTTGGAAAATTGTGTATGTACTTTTTTAGAAGAAATCGTTTACAGAGTTTACGCGCTGTGATACAAAATTTCCTTAATCTGCAACCTAGAATTTTGAAATTTCAGAATTGACGTTACATCTAATAATGACGGTGTGTTATACGATACAATATGCGATATATATAAAATTTGCACCGCTACGAGTCCACGAATCATTCAAACAAATTTGTTCGCGAGAAGGAATTCGACTAATCGGATTTCGAATTGGATTATTTTTTCGAAAATTCCAACGGTACGATTCTTCTGTAATTTGAAATTTGTATTTGTATAATAAAAAAAAAAAAAGAAAGAAAGCAAGGATATATTGAACTCGTATGCATTTCAAAGAAAACTTTCGTTCACAATGGATTCGACGTTCAATAGGCGTAAAACCTTTCGTCGTAAATATTCTATAGCGACCTACATTCTAAAATCCGTAAAAGAATTGCTCGATCGTTCACAAATTCCTCTTTTAACGCTATTTTATTTTCAATTATTACACGCCGTTTTCATACACCGTTTTCGCGTCTTAAATCCAAGTATATTTCTATATTTCTTAAGAGTCGAGAGGGGGGGGGGGTGGAAATTTTAAAGAAACATCGAGAGATTTTATTTCACATTTCGATTCCCCTTTTTTTTTAACCGAGATAATTTGTTAAACGTTTGTTAAAAAGGAGACGAGAAAATCGAAGGAACGTGAAAAAAAAAAAAAAAACTGTGATAATTTTAACTTATGTGGGTTCAACTACGTTGAAGAATCTCGTGGGCCAAGGTAAGTTTTAACGATAGAGTACAGGCCAGTAGGGGGCTAGGACGCTAGGAGTCGGACTTAAAAAGCGTTCGAACAAAAAGAGGCGCGCGGCCTTCGACGAAAAAATGGATAGATTTTGAGAAATAGAATTTTATCTATCCCCCTCGACCCCTTATTCACACGATTCCATGTTCGATGTACGAGTTTCGATGGTGGGCAATATTTGAAATATTTAAATATTTCAAATATTTTTGAAGAAGCTCGAAATTGTAACTATTCCTTTTTTTTAAATTCACGAGATATTTTCTGATAGTTGTTGATATATAACTATAGAAAGAAGAAATTCTTTTTCTTCGCGTTGCGTTTCAATCTCGTTCGACCTATTTCTCAAAGGAAGGGCAATTTTTAACAAGCGAAATTTTTAACAAAGAGAGATAGGAGAGTGAAAAATTTAAAAGAAAATTATAAAACATTGCATACGTGAACAGCGATCCAATTTTTTTTGCGCCGAAAAAAAAACATCGACACGTGTTGAAATCACCCTTCGAAAAAATCCAGAATTTTTTGCTCCGTGAAATATTTACATACGGTTAGAAATATATATATGTATGTATAAAAAAAAGAACGAAACAAAAATACGTACGTTTTTTCATTTTCATAGAAGTGCGTAAAATTCTGAAGAAAAAAAAAAAAAAAAAGAAATTCTTCGTTACTTTCTCAAATTAATCTAATCTTATTGGATTAAACTTTACATATTGAATAATTTGTCTAACTAATCTTTTTACAAATTGTGAAAACATTTTAAAGACCTTAAAGCTAATGATACTCTCGCTTAGCCAGGCTAATATATTTGGAAACGATTTATTACTCTAATACGGTCACCTTAGAGAATTTACGACTATATTTACCTCCCCCCGAAACCTTATCTTGCTTAATTTTAAACAGAGATAATAAAGCGTGATAAATTGTAGTGAAAAAGGAAAGAGGAATAATTTTCAAAATAGAGAATTTCATATTTTCATAAGGATTATCATTACAATAAATGGAATAATAATTTCACAATTATAAATTCTAATTTTTAATAACTTAATGCTTCAGGAATTTTCCAGGAATATATTTGCCAATATCGATACGAACAGTAATCAATACGTTGAATCAACAGTAATTGAAAAATTCATTAACTCAAATGTTCATTGTTATTTACAGGATATCCTAAAAATGTTAACAACACCACCGGTTAACTGGATATTAAGATAAGACCCTTTTTAAGCAACATTTTCTTTTGCAAAAATTTTCGTCACCATTTTGTTAACGAGTTGTTAACAAAAACACTGGCTAATCACTCGGTCAAATGAAAAAAGTGTTGGGTTTGTACCGCCGACCAAATACGAACAAATCCAAGCAACCATGCGTCGACAAAATTCTGTTCAATATGATGAAAATTTTTTTTCGAAAAAAAAAATTATATTGAATTAACTCAGGAACAATGAATAAACCTAATTAATCGTAGAATTTTATCGCCCTCTTTATCAATCTCATTTTCCTTCGTCAACGTTGCAATTTCCATTTTCGTCCTTCATTTTTCCCTCTTCCCTTTTCTCCTTTTTTTTATTAATACTTCCTTCACTTTCTTCGTCTTCATTTTCATTCTCTCTCTTCTCTGTCAATCTTACGATTCTTATATCCTTATCCTCACTTCCCCCTTTTTCGTCACTTTTTTACCTTTTTTTTGCCATTCTCCTACTCCCTACTCCTCCTCTATCCTTGTGCTCATCTTCGAAGAAAATGGGGCAAAAATTAATGAAGAGGAAACGTAGAGGAGTCGATAAAGGTGGAGAAGGATGGATAAAAAGAAAGTAGACAAAATGATAGAGAAAGGAGGATGGACGATAGGGACGATAAGGATGGAGATAACGAAGGGAAAGAAACGATGATGATAAAAGAATACGATGACACGGGAGGATGAAAATGACAAGAGTGGGAAGAGGAAAGGACGATGATAAAAAGGAGGGAAGAACTACAAAAAAAGAGGGATTGAAGAAGAAGAGGATGACAAAAGATAGTGACGACAAAAAAAAAAAGAAGGGAGAATGACAAAGAAGAATGATAAAGGAGGATGAACATGACAAAGGAGATGGAAGATAATAAAGGAGGTTGACAGAAGAAGAGAGAGAATGAGGATGATGGAGAAGAGGGGGATAAAGAAGGGACGCAATTTTGTATAATAACAATTAATTAGTTTACTCGTAGTTAAATGATAATTCAACATAATTCTTTTCGATAAAAAAAGTATTCAATATCTCGAACGTGAGTTTTCTTCGACGCATAGCGAGCGAGAGTTTTTTTGCAAAAGGAAAATGTTTCTGAATATTTTTGAGACGTATTATCGTTTAATCCATGAAAAATTATTTCGAGGCCGCATTGATTACGAAGCAGCGGATATTAAAAGCGTTCGAAAGCGTTGTTTTTCAACATTTATTTATCTTGTCTAACGTAAGTGAGTGCGTAGGTGGATGTAGCTTGATCATAAAGTAAAATCTGTCAGAAGTCGAAAACATGTTTCTACTTGCATTTGTTCCACTTAAAAGCCACTTAAAAACCGGGGAGGAGATAAGAAAATTTTCAGGCTAAATTCCAGCTTGATTAATTTATGAACTACTTTTAGCTTTTCTCGACGTTCTTTTTTAGGGGCAAACCCGTAATTATTAACCCGTGTTTCCAGATACATAGCCATAATGAACCCTTTGAGGCCGCGCATGGGCAAAAGAGCCACGATTTGCACAGCCATCGTCATTTGGATCGTGGGGGCCACCTTGTCGCTGCCGATGCTCCTCTTCTACAGAACGTACACCCAAAATTTCGTGAACGGCGAAGTACGAGTGATCTGCTACAGCGATTTCCCGAACAGGGACGACAACGGTCTCAGTTACGACGAATACCTGTGAGCTTATCTTATACCTGTGATAAAATGGAGGATAAAATACCCTTTCTTCCCTACTTTGCATGCCAATCATTTAATTTCTAATTGTAACATCCTTATTTCTGTTTATTTCACGCTCATCCTACGTTAAATATCGAATGAGAATCGAGAGAGCTTTTTCTTTTCAAGGTCGATCAAAAAATCTGTCTTTTCTTCTTGATAAACGGATAAAATGGAGGATAAAATACCCTTTCTTCCCTACTTTGCATGCCAATCATTTAGTTTCTAATTGCAACATCCTTATTTCTGTTTATTTCACGCTCATCCTGCGTTAAATGTGAATCGAGAGAGCTTTTTCTTTTCAAGGTCGATCAAAAAATCTGTCTTTTCTTCTTGATAAACGGATATGCAGGATAAAATACCCTATCTTCTTTGCATGCCAATCATTTAATTCTAATTGCAACTCATCCTGCGTTAAATGTGAATCGAGAGAGGTTTTTCCATCTTTTCTTCTTGGTTTTTTATAGAAGTAGAATTCCATTCTTGGCTCACTTTTTTTACATCAGTTTCAAGATAACGTTGGAAGATTGAATATACATTGAAATATGAGTTCACTAACAAGGTATGCACAACGTGCAAATTTCTATTCGTCCATCCGAAAGAGAAGATTCAATCAATCTTGTTGTCGTCCAATATCGAGGTTGAACTTCTACATTGTTCGCTACATTGAGCCACAATTAACGACAAATTTTACGATAAAATACCTCGTTGACGTGAATCTCGTTTATAGAGGATCGAGTTTTAATTGCATTTTCCTCGCAACAGAACTAATAACCGGCCTTGTTTTAACGAATCGCTAATGATTACTTTTTTCTCCGCTTTATCGTTTTCGAGGTAGATGGATAGTAGCCCGCTCTCTTTGAACACGGTCAATTTTGAAACGAACTTTCTTGAACCGCTTCTTATCCTCCTCTTACGAAAGAAACGGTGAGAAGAAATTTTCTTTCTCCTCCTCATTTTCTCTATTTCTCCCTCTTCTCCTTTAACGATAAAGCAGAGAAATAGATTTCACGGAGAATCAGGCGCGTTAAATGTTTTCCTTCCCAAGGTTTTTTCGATCAAAAAATCTATCATTTCTTTTCGGTTTGGTTTTCTTATTTTTCTCTCGATTCCAAGGATATAGATACGGATATCTATTATTAGGAGAGTGTTTTCAGACTCTTATTTTTCTAAGCACGCGAAGTTAAAGAAAAAAAATCTCCATACGCGAGGATCCTCTCGAGCAGTCCTTTCGTAAAAATAGCCACGTAGCTTTGCTCGCCATCACACATCTTCTTCCAACTTCAAATTCAGTGTGCAAGAATAAGTGTGCATTCAGGAATTTAAAACGCGAATATATTTCCTATAGATTTTCAAAACATATTTCAAATCGGGAAAACTTGCAATTCCCTCGAGGAAATTTGAGGAATTTGAACGAACTTTCTTATGCTTTCCAAAGGGAAAAATTGATCAAGAATTTCTTTAAGCACGTTTCTATAATTTCTTTAAACTTCACTACATTTTACCTTCTTTCTCCGTTTCGTTTGTAGGAATCAGGATTAGAACGAATTCAAATTCTCTGTCTCGTTTCTGCCAGGTACAACGTGATCTTTATGGTGTTGACGTACATTTTGCCAATTGGATCGATGACATTCACGTACGCCAGAATTGGTTTGGAGCTGTGGGGCTCGCAGAGCATCGGCGAAAACACCGCGGGCCAATTGGAGGGCATAAGGAGCAAACGAAGGGTAAGCAGTTGTTGTTGAACGAGAACAGATCGAAAAGTTTCTCTTGTAATAAATAATAGACGAATTTCAATATTATTCGCCACGTGAGTCGGGTGGAAAAATCATTCTTGCGAAACGATGAACTTTTTTTCTTTTTCTTTCATCTCGATCAATTGATTTTCACGCAATTTTTTCACGCTCTCGACGAGGATGACGAAAAATCGTCAAAGCGCGATTCGATCCGTTTTTTAAAGATATCGATCGCATTATATCGATCGTTACACGAGTCAATTTTTGTACCAAAGGGATAAAAAGATCGACGAAGGGAAGAAGAAGAAAAAAGAAACAGAGAAAAATCCACTCGAATCCAGTTGAAGTTTTTGCACGACCATTATTTTCGACTATACGAGCACTCACCCGTTATCGAGCAACAAAATTGGCTTTCATTTATTCCCCAACGGGAACGGTTGTTTCGTTATTAATCCCACGTTTCGTTATTAAACCACGATATGATTTCATGCACTTGTTTACAACATATTTCTCTCTTGTAATTGCAACTCGAGGTTGCACGAAAAGGTAACAAAATAAGACCTGGATCCGGCTAATGAATCCGGTTAAAATGCATCCTTTTTTTCTTCCTTTTTGGCGGCCAATTTTTTTGACGTATCGATGCATATGGAAAATTGCCAGCTTGCTAATCGAGCGTGCAACGTTGCAAACGTCTTCCAAACGTGACAATTACGTATTCCCTGTAACGGTGGAAAAGATACGTTTCAAAATTTCCTAATATTTAACAGATATTCTTCTCAGATGGAGAATTTCCTTCGAGAGAAATACCATTTTTCGTATCACGTGATCGAATTCCAATTTCCAAACCTGAACAAATTATCATTACGTCGCATTTTATAATTCAACAAGAAGCCTCACGTTTTTCTTTTAAATTCCTATTTCCCCTTCGTGATTGGTATTTAAATTAGTTAGAAAATCTATATATTTTAGATTTAGAAACGTATATAAACGTAGCATGCAAATACTTTATAAAAGAGTATTTATATTTTTAAAGATTAATATGGAATCACGTTTAATTCTGTCAAGAATTGGTTAATAGTTGGAATCGAGATTTTTGTAATGGAAACGATAAGGATATACACGCAGACGTATGTAACCTTTCTTTATTTTTATTTATGGGACATATCTTGTTGCATTTTAATCCGGGGACACCCGGTATATCCACGATAAAGTTCGCGATAAATTTCGATCGAACACATTTAACGAAATTCAATTACTATGCGTGTAAAATAGTAGCATCTTCGAAGGCATCTGATAATACTGCTCGTATTTAGAGCCGTAAATCCAATTCATCGAGACCAGACCAGTTTTATCGCGTTGTTTTATAGAGAAGAGAATTTTCCTCCTTCGAAGAAAATCGGTGAATTATCCTACATGGAATGTTCGAAACATTCGAAAAGGAATCTTTCCTTTTCCCTGAAATCATATCGATTCAATTACGATCTTTTCGAACGATTGAAAACGATTCGATTTTTAAAATTGGGTTTCTCGATTTTTCGTGATTTTCGTCCAAGGAAAAAAATCTTTCGATAATTAAGATATATATAAGATATAATAAATTAAGAGAGAGAATTTCACGTTGCTCTAGTGGTCTAGGCAGTTTGGCTGGTATGCCAAGTAACCTACATACAAGCCATTAACTACTGTACAATACAATTTATAGAATGGTGTATCGTGTATAAATTAATCGTGGAAAGAACAGTATATTTGGCTCGAGCTGGATAATATTTGGATCTCGATATTATATCTCGTGAAACTAATTTTTCATCTTATCGACATTCTCGAAAATAATTAAGATTAAAAAATACGTTACCTCGAATCGTCACATCTTATTTCGAGCAAAAAAACTTGTATCCAAGCATTTCTTCCAAAAATTTCCAATTCTCTGCAAAAGAGATGTGAGAGAAGAGACAGTATTGTTGTTTCCAATATAGATTGGTCGTTTGCCAAACGGCCAGCTAAACGTAAAATCAACGCGATTCTTTCCAATTTTCCTTGGACATCATTTTAGAAACGATCGTCAGTGATCTCAATCATTTGAGATCAGCCATCCCGAATTAATCAATTTTGGTGGAAAAAGATAAATCAATAAAATCAATCGTTGAAAATCGAGTGATTCAACATTTCAAGCTCGAGTTTCTTTAGAATTTTTTCTAAACAAAATTCGATTAATATCGATTGTAAAATAATAAGATGATCAGCCATCCCGAATTAATGAATTTTAGTGAAAAAGGATTCAATAAAATCACATAAAATCAATCGTTGAAAATCGTTGATTCAACATTTCAAGCTCGAGTTTCTTTAGAATTTTTTCTAAACAAAATTCGATTAATATCGATTGTAAAATAATAAGATGATCAGCCATCCCGAATTAATCAATTTTGGTGAAAAAAGATAAATCAATAAAATCAATCGTTGAAAATCGAGTGATTCAACATTTCAAGCTCGAGTTTCTTTAGAATTTTTTCTAAACAAAATTCGATTAATATCGATTTATAATCGATAATATATATAATCGATAAATATATATCGAAAATAATAAGATGATCAGCCATCCCGAATTAATGAATTTTGGTGAAAAAGGATTCAATAAAATCACATAAAATCGAGTGATTCAACATTTCAAGTTCGAGTTTTTTTAGATCGGTCGTAAAATAATAAGATTGTTTTTAAACGATGAAATATATCTCCAGGCTTGTCTAGATTTGAACGACAGACACGTGAAATTACGTGATATTTGCGCATAGGTGGCAACACAACAGGGTTAGGTTAAACCGAGCTATAATTTGTAATTACATTTAATAGGTAGTTGCCACGCCTTCTCATAAACTAAATTCACTCGTGAAACATCATAATGGTAATTGGATAGTGCGAGCTGATTCCTTAATCTTTTTCACGCAACACACGTGATGACAAATTTAATTCTATCTAATCGTATCTTTGCTAGAATTGCACGAATGATGAATTCTTGAGAGAAAATTATAGTTGGATAAAAATGCTGAAGAGGAAAAACCTCTCAGTCGATCCAAAAATTCTTCACATTTTCGTCGTGGCACGTGCGACGAATTGGAGAAAATTTAAATTAAATTATTGATTTCGCAAGATTTTTTTTTTTCCAAAAAAAGAATCATATGCACATACATGTAAATAGAAAGTTTTGAAACAATCTTAACAAGCGGATCGCAAAAGTTTTTCGTCCATATTCTTTTAATTCTCCCTTACGATCTCCAAATGATCTCTATAAATTTTTATACGATCGTGCGACGTTACGATTTTATATAACCGAATAGATTATTATCCTCAAGGAACGGGGAAAAATTGGACTTTGAAATTTTTATTAAATATTCGCCCTATTATTGTTATTATTATTACAATTTGATTGAAAACATAATTCTTTTTATATTCATCATATAATGTATCGTTAAATCGTTATATCCTTGACAAGAATTTTAAACCTTCACAAGCTTCAATAAATTTCTCGTGATAACAATTTGATCATTCTTCTGTGTTTCTTCTTTTCAAGAAGATATATATATATATATATATTATTTTTTTTTCTTTTTTAAAAAAGTTGAGTGCCAGTATTTCAGCGCGATTTTTTTTTTTTACACGGAAGTTTCCTCCGAAGGCAACACCTGCTCTTGATGCAACTTCTCTGTTTCGTTCTCGTCCCCGCGAAAGTCTGATAGTTTTCCTATAACTGTACAGTGTATTCCTCGGAGAACGGAAGATAATTTTCAAAATGGGGTGAAAATATTTGAAGAAAAAAATTCTTTCGAAGGAGGATTTTCCCCTTAAATTCTCTAATCCAGAGAGATAATACAAATCAAAAACTTCGTGCACCAGAGATATCTTAGGATTCATGGATGGAAACTGGAAATTTCTTTCGTTTCACGCGTAATTAAATCTCGCAATTCAACTTCGTTATTATTACTTTTCAAAGTAATTTCTAAACCTTCTTCTTCTTTCCTCCTCTAAATCATTAAAAATAATAATTATTCGAGTAAGATTTGACTAGAGAGCGAGAGCGAGAGCGAGAGCGAGAGAGAGAGAGAGAGAGAGAGAGAGAGGAGGAGGAGGAGGAGGAGACG